CGCCGAACGTCGCGTAGGATAGCCGCGCGCCCGACGGCAGGCGCAGCATGTGCGACGCGCCGCGCGGGAAGGCCAGCCGCGAGAGCGACGGGTCCGCGCGCAGCGACAAGCCGATCGCGTCCGCGTCCGCGGCCGCGGGCGGGGACGGGCGCATGGCGAGGGCTGCGCGCAGGCGGAAGGCGGTTGCGTGGCGAAGTCGGCGCTGTTGTATCGTTGAATGACGATCCGCAAGCTGAGAGTTAAAAGTTTTAACATACATACAGTACATGTACATAGTATGTACATGTATGTATGCCGTCGGTTTTAAGCTGTGTGCTGTATGTACCTGTACTACATACAGCATAGAGGTGTGGTGTAAGTAAAGAAAGATTAAATTAAAACAATTTACGCGTCTGTATACACTTGTGTATGCGGGTGAAGCTGTGCAGGGAGTAGCGAGTGACATGCCGACACCTGTCATTCGACCGAGCGTGCACTGTCCTACATATCGCCGACGGCCGGGTGAGAGTCTCGTGACTTCTCGGCTATGTCTATTTCTCTTTTGTGAAAGAGAAATTCCCCTCGACGCGAGGCGGTGCCAGGTTCTAGTAGAGTCCACTCAGAGGACTCCGGGCAGCATGACTGACAACGACAAAGACGGCACGGCGGCCGCCGCGCCGGTTGGCACACGCCCGCCAACCGCTGCGAACGACGCTGGAGCTGTGGCGCGTGCAGCCTGGGCGATCGCAAAGCCCGAACACCACGACTACGCGACTGCTGTCACTGAAGTGAATTCTGCCCGACTGGTTGGTGAGGGCAGCATCTTCGATCGGGGCACACATGTACCCATAACGCATATGGGCTACTTCAAGCCCCCTCAAGATGCCTTCCTCAACGAGCTCCGCTCCACGGACCGACGATAGGCCAAAGAGTGGGCGTATTTGAATGCTGCTGGCGTCTGGACGGAGTTGGGGCTTACAGCCCTCGACGTCGCGAAGACACATGGAGGGGACTATCGAAGATATGACAAGAAGACTCGTGCTCGCCGAGGATGCTATGAAGGCGACGCTGGAGGTTTTATCTATGCGGGCGCAAAACTTTCGGGACATTACGGAGCAAGGAGTTGAGATGGCAAAACAGATGTCCTTCCTTGTCGAACAAGGGCATGACGCTGTACTCTCAGAGTCCTACCGTTAGGCTCGGGCTGCACTCACGTCCAAGATGAAAACCGAGGCCACAAAAATGTTGGCTAAGGCCAGGCTCCAACGTGCCTCAGGCAAGAATGGCAGCTCCCCAGGGGCTTCCACGGAAGAGTGACGGGCCCGCCTTTTGGCGGAACGGACAAAGTGCGAGTCGGGGGACTCCCACTTTGGAGAGGGGTAGCACTGCGCGCAGATGCATGGCGTACGGACCTGGCGGCCAGCGCGTATCTGGTGCGTGCCATTCGGTATGAGATCCTGGACCCTTCTGCTGTGCCATTGACAAAGGGTGTGGTGCTGCCCGATATCCCCCAATCAGAGGAAGACAAGATGTTCGGGAAAGAAGACTTGGAGGCTGGTTGCCGGAACGGGATTTACGAGCGGCTGGATCCAGATTATGTGGAGAGATGCGTGGAAGTGGAAAGATGGTATCGTCCGCATTTACCGTTTGGTAGGGCGAGAGAGCAGAGAGGAAGGGACGTTTTGTGGTCAATTTTTCACAACAGAGCAAGCACTGGCCCCGGGGCAGTGTGAAGATGGTGGAGACTAAAACGGCCTTCGCGATGGAATTACAGAAGGAAGACATGATGATGTCGTAGGATGTGAAGAGTAGATATCGGCACTTCTACTTGCATCCATCCATGCGCGATATGTTTATTTTCTCCTACGATGGCTCGTTCTACCGGTGTGTTTCCCTACCGTTTGGATGGGGAAGGTCGGTGCTGTGGTTCACAAAGATGCTTCGGCCGTTCGTGCGGCATTTGCGGGAGAGGTACCGTTACCGAGTGCTCCCGTATATCGACGACTTCCTGCTCTCGCCCTCGCCCGCAACGCGGCCCGCTACGAAGAAGGACTGTGCGCTTTCTCGGCGCCGTCTGGACGCACTATTTTCGCGGCTGGGCATAGTGCTGCACCCGTCGAAAGGTTGTTGGGAAAGAGCGCAGCGTTTAGACCATTTGGGCGTGCATGTGGACACTGTGGCTATGAAGGATTACATTTCGGAGGCGAGGCGCTTGAAGGTTCTAAGATTAGCACAGGAGCTACTGCTACTCGCTCAACGAAACCGCTGTTGGGTGTCGTTGGAAAGGCTGCGGCACTTCTGTGGCGTCGCGGTCTCCCTTACGCTGGCATTGCCGCTCGCGCGCTTCTACACCCGCTCGCTTTACTTCGACATGACGTTGGCAGAGCGGGAGGAGCGAGGGCCAAGTACGAAGGGAGGTGTTGTTCCGAGCGAAGCGAGACGCCCAGGAAGCGCGGTTCCGGGGCTCTGGGGGCTCCGCCCCCAGCGGGGGGCCGGGGGCGGAGCCCCCGAAAGGGTTTTGGACACCATGGACGGCGCTCTGGTCGGGGAGAAGAGGAAGAGACGTTGGCGGGGTTGCGTTCGCCTCTGTAGGCAGTCGCTGCGCGACCTGCGACATTGGCGTTCATTGGCGCGTGGAGAAGGCAGGGACCTCCACAGGCTGGACCCTCATGCAACGATGCACAGCGATGCTGCCGACGTGGGATATGGGGAGACCCTAGGGGACGACGAGGAGGCTGGGTCACCGGGTTTGTGGGACGGTCGCGGTTTCTGGACGGCCGAGGATCGGGCGATAAGTATAACGCTGAGAAAGTTAAGGGCAGTGAGGCTTCTATTGCAGAGGCACTTCGCCGACTACGTCTCCCAGCCGAGCGTGAGGCGGCTGCTGCTACACGAGGACAACCAAGCAGTCGTCTACGTGCTGAACGCCATGGTCTCGGCTTCAAAGCCGATGATGGCCGAGCTTCGTCGGCTGCAGAAAATGCTCGTGGTGCTGGGGGTGACAATAGAGGCGCGCTGGTTGCCCTCGGCCGTGAATCGTTACGCAAACGCCCTTTTCCGAACGTGGGACCCGGGAGACGCACGAGCTACGGACCGCTTGTTCCGGTCAATACAGCACGAATACGGCTTGGATGAGGTCGTCTTCAAAGATCGCCGCGTTAGGGAAACGCTGGTGGCGAGGAAGAAGTACGCTCTGACGCAGATGGGGGAGTACTGGGGGGATGGGCTTGCGCGTCTTTGGAATCCGCCATTCGATTTCCTTCTGCTCGTGGTGAGGAAGATTCAGGCCGAGGTCGGAAAGGGGGTGCTGATAGCCCCACACTGGCCAGCGCAAGCATGGTACGCACGCTTGCGCGGGCTGGCAGAGGAGCTCATCGTGCTTCGCCCTTCCGACCACGGCCCCCGTTGCTTCAAAGCTCGCGCCCAGTGAACGCCGCATGGGAATTAGTGTTGGCAAGGATAGGGTAGCGCAGCTGTGGACAGCGGGGATCCGGGATGCAGTGCTGGCAAAGACGGGGATGGAAGGGGAGACGGGGGGTGCAGAGGTGGCGGCGGAGCTGCTGGTGTCGGATGGGTGGAAGGCGCAGACGTGGGCACACATGAGCAGTCAGATTAAGAAGTGGTTGGTGTTCTGTGATCAAGACGGTCGAGATCAGCTGTCTGCAAACGAAGGGGATGTGGTCACTTTCCTGGGTTACATGTACCTGGAGGGTAGGGTAAGTCCAATCTCGGTTCGCAATTATATCAGCGCTGTCTCCCGTTTCCATGAGACTCAAGGGATACCCTCTCCAACGCGTTCCCCGCTAGTGTCTTCCATGGTTACTGCGTACATGAACATGACCGATCGCGACCGACCTGAAGCGCGAAAACGAATCAGGATTAGTGCCGCAATCGCGATGCGTGTGGCAGAGTTTGGCTTGGGCACCGAAGTAGTTGAGGAAGTAGGCTCCTGCGCTTTGGTCGTTTTCGCATTTATTTTTCAGTGCAGGTCAATTTCGGTGGCACACGTGGCAGCAGAAGACATTTATGTCAGGGATGCTAGCGTGGATGTGGCTCTGACGCATCGCAAATCG